GACCCCCAACCCTTCTTTTCTGACCCCCAACCCTTCTTTTCTGACCCACAACCCTTCTTTTCTGACCCACAACCCTTCTTTTCTGACCCACAACCCTTTTTTTCTGACCCACAACCCTTCTCCTTTCTTTCTGACCCAGAACCGCGATCCGCCCGCTTTCTTTTTGACCCCTAGCCGCATAGCCCTTTTCTATAGCGACCCTTCTTCTTTCAATTGGATCCGCAAGCCTTCAGTTTTGATCCATATATCTCGTGAAGTAAGGGCAGAAATAATTACATTAGACAACACAGTCAAAAACAACATTGCTCAACACTTATTACAGGCTCAATGATTAAAATTAGCTATTTCCGATGTATCACACGATCACTCAAACCTTCAACGCTAGAGGTGGTGAAATTAAGCTGAGTATTGTAAAAGAATCTTCTAAATTGACTGGTGCCTTCATCAGCTTGCTTAGAGCACCTAGAAGTGGCAAAAACCTAAACCGTTTCTTGCCAGATATGTATACAAGCGATGGAACAACTTCTACAATCCAATGATATATGGAAGAATTAATGACACAGGGGCCGCCAACACAGAAGACTAATATGGTAGAGGTTTCCAAGATGCAACACGTAGTTTAAGTTGGCAAATTCAATTGAGCAACTCACAGAAATATCCAGAATTTGAAGGTCAAAGTTTATCAGATGCGTTTTGTTATTTAAGAAGAGCTACACATTACATGAGCCCAGACCAAAATAGTTTTTAAGTTGTTCTTATCAACAATACAGAAGTAAAAAATCGTTATAGGTATGTCATTTGAGAAAATGGCGGACGTCAATTTGACCGGATACAACGCAAAAATGTCGGGAATTACAAATTTCACTATTAAGGGAACAGAAGGAGCACTTGACCCTAATGAGCAATTTACGAGGTTTTCGGCCACATGCTTTCATAGACTGTTCTGGAATTGAGAGAAAGCGGAAGTGTTGTACATGATGAAAAATCTATATAATACTATATACAATGATGAAAAACGAAAAAAGAAATGCAAAGACTGGCAACCGTGTTCATCTTCAAAAGCAGTTAATGAACTTCAGCCCCTTTGATTTGAGGGATACTTCATACCTAGACCATTTACATACAGAATCGAAATTAAGGCAGTCAAGGGAAGCAATGCTTTTATTAAGAAAAGACATGATAGAAGCGAACAAGAGGTCTAATTGTGGACAGAATAACTAATGAGTTATCTCCTCCAAACTTACCTTACATGTCAAAGCAACATTTAGAAGACAGAGTTAAACCACTTAAACATCTGGCGACATCCTTCTCTAAACTTTCCCCTTGGGTGGCTCACCAAAGGGTAGGCCAACTTGG